GAAATTAGGCGGGTAGGTACTCGGAGGAGGGCTTTCTCTGCGGTGGCGCCCAATCTATGGAATGTGCTCCCCAGAGAGGTCCGCCTGGCGCCGTCGTTATTTGTTTTTCGGCACCAGGCGAAGACCTTTTTATTTAAGCGTCATTTTAATTGTTAATATTATGCTTATTTTATCTGGCCAGGGCGACTTATTTTATATTGCTATTTTTTGTATTTTAACTTTATGTTGTGAGCTGCCCCGAGGCTTCGGCGAATGGGGCGGCATAGAAATGTTTTAATAAATAAATAAATAAATAAATAAATAAATAATAAAAGCTACATCTGGATCCAGAGGACGTAAATAATTATTGACCTATAGCCAATATTCCCTTCCTGGGCTTCTGGGCTATGGCTGGGCAACTCCAAGCACTCTTGGAGGAAATGGATTATCTAGATCTATTTCAATTGGGCTTTAGGCGTGGCTTCAGAACAGAAACTGCCCTGATCACCCTGTGGGATGACCTATGCTGGGAAAGAGACAGGAGGAGTGCGACCCTGTTGACTGTCCTGGATCTCTCAGTGGCTTTTGGGACCATCAACCATGGTATCCTTCTGGAGAGGCTGGCTGGACTGGGAGCTGGGGACACCACCTTGTGGTGGTTTCACTCCTATCTGGCTGACCGTCTCCAGTTGCGGGAGCTGGGGGACTGTCGCTTTGTGCCACGGCATTTGTGCCTTGGAGTTCCACAGGGCTCCGCTCTGTCCCCCATGCGCTTCAACGTCTACATGAAACTGCTGGGCAAGGTCATCCGGAGGTATGGGCTGAAAAGTCACCAGTATGCTGATGACACATACGTAGCTTTACCTCTCATTCCCATCTAATCCAGGTGAGGCGGTGACTGTCCTGAACCAGGGCCTTGGCTCAGTGATGGACTGGATGAGGGCCAATAACTGAAGCTCAGTCCAGACAAGATGGAGGTTCTGTTGGTGGGCAGTCCATTTGTCTAGCTGAGAAACTGTCAACCAATCTTGGACAGGGCTGCACTGCCCCTGAAGTAAAGGTTCATAGCTTTGGGGTGCTATCACTTGTCTCCCAGGAGGCCTCGGTGGCCAGGAGCACCTCCTATCAGCTTAGGCTGATTTCCACCTACGTTCCTACTTGGATGAGTGGAGCCTTGCCACAGTTATCCGCACACTGGTAACCTCTCGCCTGGACTACTGTAATGCCCTCTATGTTGGGCCACCCTTGAAGATGGTCTCCAGTTAATCCAGAACAGAGCAGCGAGGTGACTAACTAGGATCAGCCCTAAAGCACACATCACACTGGTCCTCTGCCAATTGTACTGGCTGCCTGTTACTGCCTGGGCCCAGTTCAAAGTGCTTGTGCTAATGTATAACGCCTTCAACAGCTTGGCACCGGCATAGCTAAGGGAATACCTATCTCCATGGATCCCTGCCAGACCACTCAGGTCATCAGTGGAAGTTCTCCTCCATGAACCCTGCGCCACTGAGGTGAGGGGGGAACTGGTGAGGAAAGGGGCCTTTCTGGTCAGCGCACCTCACCTTTGGAATTCTCTTCCAAGGGAGGTGTGACTGGCAGCCACTCTATCTTGCTTTCAACACCAAGTCAGGACTTTTTAAATTTAGTATCTGTTTTTAGATTGGATTATTGGTTTGCTGCTGGTTTATTGTTTTAATGCTTACTGTTTCATTGGTTATTGTTATTGGTCATATTGTGTTTATTTTTCTGTTTCCTACTTATATGGTCATATTTATAATATATTTTAATTCTAGTATTTTTATGGTTTTGTTTCTTATTTTCCCCTGCCACTGTTTGGTACGTCCTTCTCACACAGTCCACCTTTCAGAAGAAGGGGAATGCTGAATTAGATAAAATGTGGTACCTATACTAAGCAACCAATGAAAACATAACTTCAGGACATGCTGATGCCCATGCCATCACCCCAGCTGCCACTTGCTTCTTGCCTCATTTCTGTTAAAGTGTGAACCTGTGGGTGGGGGCTTGTTTTTAGCTTTGGGCCTTTATAAAATAATAGTACATGAATTTGCTTTATTGTAAGGATGACTTCCATATGCAATTAAGAAGATCATCATCTAGGAATATGCAAAGGTGAGGAGCACACAAGGAGGTGTTCAGCCTACTAAAGTACAAGATATAGCTTATTTGCCTGAGGCAAATGGAATTTGCTGCTCTACAGGTAACTCTTTGATTTTTGGTGTAGGGAAAAACTTTGAAAATTTGATCTGCATTAATATGCTGAGGCTTATTGCTTAGGAAATGTTTTTATCTAGCTGGGCCTGCTGCTTCTTTGTGTTTTAACTTTACTTTCTGCTTGATCTTTAACTGCAGCGTGACACACATAATCAAGTAGATTTGTTAATAGCAAGGAAGTGAGTGGTGGAAAACAATCCTAGGGTCCTGGGAGAATTTGGAGTCCGGCCTCCGAAGCGCTAGACACAGCTATGTCTTCCTAAAGGAAACTCTGAAATTTAATCCCTCCCCCTTGGCCTACAAAGAATCAGGCGGGCTGTTTCCTGGGGTTGCAGAACTGCCCTTGGAGAGGTCAGTAAAGGGAAATACTGGTGGTTGTGGTGGGAAGGAGTGGTCACGATACAAGGCTGCCCCTGCCAGCAAGGCCTCTCTAGAGAGGCTCAGGTGCCCGTCTAGAGAAAGAATATCAAGACCAGAGAGGCAAAACTCACCCCTGTTACTCTTCCTGCCTTGCTGGCATCTGGTCACCAGAACACTGGAAAGGTTTCCATCTCACAATGGCACAGCCCATAGAATTGCATCCTATATTCCTATGTGAATCTACTGCTATAAGCACAAGAGGAGGACCTTTTTAATAACAAGAAGCCCAACAACTTTCTATTTCTCAAATGTGTGACATGCCAATTTCTAGTTTATTTTTCAAATGGTGTTCCTTCATACACACTTAAAACCAAACCATAATTTTTAGTGGCAAACTGCAGATAAGTATAGGAAAAAATCTGAAAAGCTGCTGAAAATGTTAAGTTTTTTGCCACTTACATGATAGTTTATCTGTAATTCTGAAAATAAAGGAAACAAAATTGCAGCATTTCTTTCCATCTTAAAACAATTCTAAGTAAGCAAGTAACAAATCTATGGTAAGCAATAAGCTTAGTTTAATAAAATGGAAGTATTACAAATAGAAGTACTTTAAGTATTCAATTTTATATTGAAATTACACTGGTTGTCCCTCATTGTTTCCACTTTATACTTCCCCCTTTTTGTTGATTGTAGTGTTTAAAGACATTTCTTATTATGCTAATAAACTATCAAATTGGAGCAATCCTACACAAAAATTCCAGTGAAATCAGGGGAGACATATAGAATAAAAATACTTTGGTGTGCTAAAGTATACACACTTACCTGGAAATAAGATTAATGAAATTTACTGGAGCTTCCTTTTAAGTACATGGATCTAGGATTGTATCAGGATGATAAATACAAAACCTCATCACTTGGTAAGCTTACTACATAAAGATCTGAGTAACACAGAATGCTGTTCCTCTTTCTGAATGTGTCCAGGCAGGATTCAGATGAAGTTACCCTTGTTACACCAAATGATTTTTTTTAAGTTTTCAGATGAAAGTGTCACAGACAAGCTTATTCTACCTACCTTTGAATTCTTCTATTTAGCACTAATTTATATTCAGCCTGTAATTACAGCCTGCATCTGTAATTAAAAAAAAAAACCCTGATTTAATCAATGGGGAAAAGTGAGTGATCATCAAAAACAGTTTCTTGTACAAACAGCTTTTACCTTGATAAAATGAGTACATGAAGACAACTATTCATTTCTGAATTGCTACATGTAACATTTCTAAGTTTTGTTATGGGCAAAAGAATACATGTGTGATTCCTTTTGCTGGACATCACACAATTGATAGTATCAAGGTCATCAGATTTAGATCCTGCTTTTTTTCACAATACACTCAAAATAGCTTATTTCATTCTCCTATTCCTGCTCTTAATCTTATCCCCACAACAACCACCTTACAGAGTAGGTTGAGCTGAAAGTCTATGACTGGCCCAAAGTCACTCAGTTAACTCAGTGGCTGAGCAGGGACTAGAATCCAGATCATTTGAGTCCCAGTCCCATGCTCTTAACCACTATACTACGCTGACTCTATTTAATTATTTAAGTTCTGAGTTGCCAGATTCGTTTTTTTAAGGGTAAGCCTGACATACACAACTGTGTCATTTTTAAGTATCAAATGTTGAGTGGAGGCCCAACTCCTCAACATATACGATTATATTTTCCAAAATTATTTGAATAATTAGAAATGCTTCTAAAGAAAAATCAATTTGCTATAATATAGAGACTATTAGACATTTCCTAATGGTGCCTTGGAAGGTATTAACAATTTCCACTAAAGAGCTTATCTAAAAGGTATATAATGCTGGGAACAATAGATGGCAAAAGAAGAAGGGGACGGCAGAGGATGAGGTGGCTGGATGGAGTCACTGAGGCAGTCGTTGTGAGCTTAAGTGGACTCTGGGGGATGATGGAGGACAGGAAGGCCTGGAGGAATGTTCTCCATGGGGTTGCGATGGGTTGGACTTCGCGACTAACAACAATAACAAAAGGTGTATGCTTCCCACTCCCCCCACTTCTTAAAGCGACTCTACAGATCAAGTTTAGTCAGAAATAAACCCCTGGAGAAAGCAAACGCTAGAGATTTTATGGGTCACTGGTTGTGTATGTGTAAGAAGCTATTTAAATCTGGAAAGATAGGGAAGCAAGAGACTACTCATAATATGCGGTTTAAATAGCATAACCCTAATTTTGCCCCACTTCTACTGTAGCTTCCTCACTTATTTATTAAATGTATATTCTTATTTTTTTCTTTTTGAAGACTTCAAAGGAGCTTACATCATTCTCCACCTCCCACTCTCAAGTTTATCCTCACAACAGCCCCGTGAGGCAGGTTGTGCATGAAGTCTGTGACTGGCCCAACACTAGCTCCATGTCTCAGCAGGGACTAAAACTCAGATCGTCTGAGTCTAGACCTACGAACTTAACCGTTACACCACACCGGCTCTCTGAATGAAACATGTATGCTCGAGAGACGGAGAAAAAGGCGAACGCACTCTGCACACGCGCAGAGGTACTCTTATTTCTACTCCTGCTTAGGAGAAGGGGTAGAGCACCGATTCCACCGGGGCAACGCGCTCACAGGGTCGGGGAAGGGAAAATCTCGGTGGGCGAGAGCGGCTGAAGTACTAAGGCAGGAGGCAGCCATAACGGGCCTCCTCGACACCACGGGAGCCACCGCGTCCAATCCGCCTCACCTTCCCTCTCGCAGCAGCCGCAGACACTTGCCTTCGCCCCGCCTCCTCCCGCAGCTTCCGGCGCTTCGTTCAGGTTTCGCGCGTGCGCGGGCGGTGCCGTCCTAGCGGCGCCCCACCCAACTAATTAATTGACGGGCCGTTGGGCCAATCTCTCTTCCGCTCCCCATCCCCTCTTCTGCGCGTGCCTAGGCGAGCTGCCTAGGCGTCCGCGAACTTCCTCTGCGTGGCGCGCGCGGCCCCCGGACGCCGCAAAGTAGCCAGCCCGGCGGAAACGGCGCAGCTCCTGTCCAGGAGGGAGCGGGGAGCAGTCGGTGATGAGCCCCGTGTGAGCCCTGTGACAGATCGGCGGAATCTCAAAAGAGAACAAGGGAGGGGAGAATTGCGGGCTCCTGGAACTGGCTTAATCTCAATAAAAGTAGCGAAATACATTATGAATTACAGTAGGTGTAGAAACACAAGGCTGGCGTGAATGGTTAGAGGATTATTGGCAGACGTGGGGAGGAAGTCCTTGGGAGAATAAAGGATTCCTGCAAGGAAGTAACAAAAGGTGACAATTAGCGATATGCGAATGGATCTACCATGTATCTGGACATCATGCCTGTGACGTAGAGTATATAATGTATGTTTTTAGGACCTCTTATGAGACTCTGTTTTGGGAAGCGTTTCCCCCTCCGTTTATTCTAAAGTGCACTAGAATAAAGCTGTGCTTGCTCCACGTCTCGTCTCGGGCTCTCCAACCCGAGGGTCTCGGTCCACTTGGGCTCGCCTATACTGCTTGCCTGGCGAGTCCGGTGACAGTTTTATCCCCATATTTCCCCAAATTATCACATATTTGCCCAGCAAAGTGCAATGAAATGCTCATTTTACAGTAGGTAGGGAATCACACCCACAGAGGCAAACGATCCACCCATGCTACAAAATCACCACCAACAAAAAAGAACCGGGTAAAACACACCGATCCACCCAAGCCCCGCCTCACTCGAAGCACACCCCACGCCAAAACCGAGCATACCAACCAGCTGGGGCGCGTCACACGCGCCCACTCCCTCCCATTCCAGCCCTCAAGCTCCCCATGCTGCCCCCCTGCCCAGCTTACCCTTTTCTTGCAGGGGAGGCAGCTGGGACAGGGGATGCCCCCCAGCGAAGCGCTGTGTCGCGGGCAGCCACCCTTTTTATGGTCCAAGATTGCCTCTGGGTCAAGAAGCTGTCTCTGGTGCCCCCAAACCCCACAAATGAGCCCCCGAATAAACCCGTCATCATGGATTGCTCCTTAAAAATTCGGATCACACTTAATGCTGCATCTTCACGTCTCAGCAAGCCACCTCTCAATTAAAGCTATTATTCTTTATGCTTTTAAAATCTATATTTTAAAGAGAAAGGAAAAGCAGAAGGGGCAGGGGGGACTGGCAAGTACCAGGAAAGGCTACCTATATTCCAACCTGCAACCTTGCCTACCTGTTTCTTGTTAATTGGCTTCACTGTGCCTGTCTTCTTGGCTTGTTCTACACAGATTATTACGTCTCCCATTTTCCATTTGGGTAGCGGAGTGCTAACACTCAAAGTCACTTCTCTGACAGAGTGCCTTTAATTTCCTCCTTTTCCTGACATAAATTATGCTTGAGATGCATCTTGTGGGATATTGCAAAGAGCGTGATAAAATGCTGTCTGCCATCACTTTTGACGCTACCTCCCCTTATGCAATCCAGGGAAAAATACTCGCAAGATGAGTGGGGCGGATGACAGTCAAAATCCTGCCCCATGGAGGAGGGCCTCTTAATCAGTTGCCCCAGTGCTCTTTCTTGCGCTCAGCTGCTTTCTTTGTCTGCATATACGCTCCAATTGTCACGATTCACCATAAGGGCAGATAAGTCTCTTTCTTGAACAAGTTACCTATTTTGCCTTTTAGGAACACCCTTTGAAACATGTGTCATTAGAGTAACAGAGCAGTGCTGTTGGCAAAAATTCATCCCCTTTCCCACAAGTCCCCTAGATGAGGTGAGAAACAGGTCATCCTCCAGATGTTACACCACAACTCCCATCATCCCTGGCTATTGCTCATGCTAGCTGTCCAACACCATCTGGAACTCCATACATTCCACACCCTTTCTCAGAAAATCTTCCTCTGCTAGGGCCAGTTCTTACTTCTGCTGCCCATCCCTGATAATCGTCTGTCTCGATATTAACTCCACATTTGTCTTTTGGGGAGGTGTTTAGGATACCTTGTATCAGCGAGGCTGTGGAACCTTGAAACAGTGTCTGGATATGCCCCGGGATAGATCAGGGAGTGAACGAGCTGAAACTGAGCCCAGATGAGGCGCAGCTTCTGTGGGTCGGGTGGGGAAGCTTGCCCAACTGAATGGAGCTTTCAAAGGGGCCGTAGGTAGAGTTGCACTCCTGGTGTGCAGTCCGGGGACGCTCCTGGGTGCCTGGAAAGACTCAACTGGCAGCTGTGGCTAGAAAGCCTTCCACCACCCACAGCCCTATTTCAAATTCAAGCAGAATTTCCTGCCAGGGTGCCAGTAGGAGCCAGAAAATGCGAGCTTGCAATGTTGTTTATGCTCCAGTTGCACTGGCTACTGGCATGTTCTCAAGCCCATTGTGCTGGTGTCAGTGTTTACAGATCTTAAATGGGAGCAGGCCACTTGAAAGACTACTTTCACCTGTATTGCCCTGCCTGGACACCAAGGTCTGCTTTGGAGGTCTTCGTCACCTGCCTGCAGTAAAATCAATGCGGCTCATGAATACGAAAGTAGGACCTCCTTGGTGATGGCCCCATGGCTGTAGAACCAACAAGCTCGGCTTGGCTTCTTCAGTGCACTAAGCAGGACTTGAAAGCATACTCATTCAATACTGCATGATTTGGAGCAGCTTTAATATGATAATTATGTGCCTCTCTGATGTCCCTAATCATCTTTGTATTGTGCCTTTTGAGTTTATTTATTTGTGAGGACACAGTTCTGAAAGGCAGCTTAAAATATGCATGAATAAACTTCAGAAGCCATGAACTGTAAATGTTTTTAAAGGTCTGTTCCTTGTGGCAGTGATTCCACTGAGCTGCGCAGTACAGGAGCAAGGAGACAGTGACACGAGTGCATCTGTGAAAAGTTGGAAGATACGTGGGGAGGAAGCAGATGCTTCTTGACACCAGTTTAGATGCCTCAAGGCTGCATGTGCACAAATTGGGCCTTGTGGCAAATTGTTGTTGCTAGTCGCGAAGTCGTGTCCGACCCATCGCGACCTCTTGCACAACACTCCTCCAGGCCTTCCTGTCCTCCACCATCTCCCGGAGTCCACTCAGGCTCACGCCGACTGCTTCACTGACTCCAACCAGCCACCTCATTCTCAACTGGCAAATAGCACATGGTTAAGCGAGATTAGTTTTTACTGTTGATAATGTATCACAGAGCAGCTGTAATTTTCCCATAACTCTTGAATCAAAAGGACAGAGTTAACCACAGCTCTTTAACCAAGAGAGCACACTGCATGTCTTGGTGTGTCTTAATGCCGTGGGTGCATGAGAACTGACTGGCAGCATGGAAGAAAGCAGGTATTGGAGGCATGGGGGCAGTGAAGATATACCAACCGGCAGTGTGCACTCCAGCGATATGCTTGGGCACAGTCCCTGGCAAATAACCAGCCCTGTTTGGGGAGGTTTGCCTTTTTAAGTGTTTGGTTAATGTGACCATATGTGCCACAACCTCTGCGCTTTAGACTCCTCTAGACTCCATAGTTGCTTATCTACAAGTTCGATGTTGCTGAAAGGGTGAACTGTACTAGGAGTAGATCCGTGATGAGATTAAAGATTTGTTATCTTCTTTTTAAAGGAATTTGTTACAATCAGAGTGCTCCTGGCGGGGGTGGGGGTTATGTTACAGACACACATCCTGTTTGGGAAGTTAGAGCAGGATAAGGTCTTGCAGTGGGTATGGATGCAAAGTGTACTTCAAGTATGCAGTGTTCTGGGTATAGTTGTTTTGGCCAGCAGAATAACATCCACAGCGTCCCCTCCCTTCCCCTCTTCGAGAGGGACCGATCTTAATTATCTGGACACAGCATCTGTTTTCCCTCCAGATGTGCAGGTGCAACTTTTAATAATTCAGTGTTGCAGTGCTAGCCACCAGCTAGATGCCCCCAAGTAATGATAGAATGTATGGAGGGAAGCACAGCCTTAGCAGTGGGTGGCAGAGGATTTGCAGAGGGTCCCAGGCTCAGTCCCTGGCACCTCAGGTAAAACTCCTGCCTGAAACCCAGGGGATCTGCTGCTATCAGTGGCTGGGTTCAGACAACACATTTAGCCATGGTGGGGGGGGTTTTATGCCATTGTTGGCCTGTCATGTCTGAACCTAATGAACCCTGATAAATGTGGTCTTCATAAGCTATGGTAAGAAATGATGGTTTCTCTGTACTTCCCCATAGCTTGTCATATTGACTGAAACCAGGTTTCTGGTTTCCCCAGTCCTGTTATGAACTACCACAGAGTCCTCTGGAAAGAGTGGCAACAGCAGGAGCTGTTCCTGCCATCTTGCCTCTCTGTGTGGACCAATGAGGAAGGGGCAGGTGACAGAGACAGACAGTGATGTGCCTTGAGATTGAATTTCTGGTGCAGTGACTTATGGGATACATGCCAACAATGGGAGGACTGAACCTGGAGGATGGAAACCATGGAAAAGTAGAAACCACATGATTGCCTGTCAGGTAGAGCATGGCAAAATGAGAACCATTTTAATGTGGGGCTGCTTGTTGTGTTCTGTGAATACGGCCAGTGTCTGAGTTAGATGGACCAAGAGTTGGCTCAATGGAAGGTAGTGCTGATGTGTTGATCAGATGGTCAGCAAGTGCTGGTCCCTTGCTGTACTTTGCTTTCCTACTTTAAGTGTAGGGTAGTGAATGAAGCAATCTTGGGGCGATCTGAGGGATTTCAGACTTTTGTGCTGCTGCTGTGGGAATTTTTAGGTGGATTGGTTAGCAATCTTTCTTGCTGCAGCATCATTTGCTTTTCTCTGATAATTTATATTGTATACATTCTGTGACTGCCTCATTGTTCATCTCTTGAATCCGTAATGGTTAAGGAACAAATGAAAGAAATAAGGACAGTTTCTCCAACAAAGATCTCAGAAGCAACTGCTGTAGTTGCTGCCAACATCTGCAGGCAGAAGTGCACATGAGATCCTTTGATGGCCTTCTGTTTGCAGTCCACTGTCCTCGGTTACTTGGGTTCTGGCTGTGAAGGAGGTAGATAGCCATCATCTTGAGATGTGGAGACAGTATCTCTGCAGCACGCCTGGTTTTGGTTTCATGCCTCACTGTGAAGTGTTTTGTCAACACAGTTTAAAGAATTCCCTGTTGACATTGCCTTGCATGCACCTGAAGTTTCAGGGTGAGGTGCCAACAAGCTTGTAGTTTTATTTATGGCCTGACTACTCCATGAACCAGGTTTTAACCAATCAGTTGCTGGATCAGTCCTTCCAACCTACTGGTTAACAGCTCAAATCCCCTGTCAGCTCAGTGCAATCTCAGATGTGCTTAGCAGCCTTGCTGAAACTGTATGAAGCCGAGCTGCTGTCTCACCAGCCCTTAGACCTCCTTTTAAGCCAGCCTGAAACATTGCTTTTGAAGGATGGGGTCTAAATCAATAACAGCCGCAATTCTGGCCATGGGGATCATGGACCTGATAACTCCCGCCTTCCAGGTGTGTGCCATTTCACTAGCTACAGTCTCTGCTTTACCATTATTTGATACGTGTGCAGCAAAACATGACATTTAGAGCTTTAGAAAGGTAATATGTGAGGCACAGGCGGCTCTTCTGCATGCCAGTAAAAGCCTGTTGTGCCTCTTGCGCTGGTATGATTTGTGCATAGTTTGAAATGTCCTTGACATGGGACAAAGAAAGTATAGGAGAACCTCTGTTTGGATGAGAAATACGCTGCAATCCATGCCAACTTTTAAGGTCTCATTAAAGACCCAAGAGATGCCAAGTGAGAGTCCTTTGGGAATCATGCATGCAAATGCTCTGGGTGGCTCACTCGGTTCCCCTGAGGATGCTTTCTCTCCTTCTGCAGAGGCTGAAAGAGCAGGCGCGGGCAGGCGCCCGGTTCCAGGAGCTGCCCGTGGTGCTGATGGCAGCCGTGGCCTCCTTCGTCGTCTCCCCCTCCTCTCCTCCTCCAGGATTGTGAGAAGGGTCAGGCAAGCCTCAGTGCTTGGGAGGAAGCTGTTGGCATGTTGGTGGAGGGAAGCGAGTGTTTGTGCTGAGTTGCATGTGTATTTATTCAACTGCAGAATGAGCAGGTGAAGTGGGATGGAGAATGCGAGTCGATTTTCTTCTAACGACATAAGCGGAGATGACTTTCCGCACTGAAAGAAGAAGGGAGGGAAAGGTAAGGAGAGGAGAGGGGGGCAGATTGGATCCAGACTTTATTAACTGGGGGTTGTTTCTAACCAGCCGATTATTATTGCTCCCTGTAGGTCCACAAGTCAACAACATTAGAGAAACAGCAGAGATAGGAACACTGGCTCTCCAAGAGGCTGTCTCAGGACCAGGAGGTGAAGTAGTGGATTGGTTCTTCCAAGCTTAGGGCCAAGGCAGAAGGTGGCCTGGAGCACCATGAAAGTCACAATGAATGCTGTCTTCTCGTTCGCAATCCTGGTGGGCATTTTAAGCTTCATCTTCCTGGTGGCAGCCATCGGCACCGACTTCTGGTATTTCACCGATGCTTCTAAACTGGAGAAACTAGCCAACCGCACTGACAGCCTAAGCTCCCATTCTGGACTCTGGAGGACTTGCCAATGTAAGTAACTCCAGATTTCCCTTATGGCTTTGGTGGGCAGCTCCTTTGGTCATTGCAGATCTCCTCTTAGAGAGAAATATTCAATCCCTTTAATTGACAAATTGGGCATACTCTTTTCTAGATTCTGGCTTCTGAGGCATCCTACTACATACATAGTCAATGAATGGGCCAAGAATCTTTAGAGGTGAAAGAAATAGAGGCAAGTTTCTAGTCCTTATGAGGAGGAAGCTTTAACTGTTTTCTCTGACTTTATTCCCTCTCATGAGCATAGACATAGATGCACTTTCCTGCAGACTCATACAACCCTCTTCACATCTCCTGAGTTGCTATCTGGGCAAAGCATGACAGTGTTCTCCAGGGCGCAATTTAATGTGAGCTAGAATTCACCAGGGCAGATCCCCCAACTCTGATGTTCCCCCCACCACCACCTTTTTAACTCCCAGGATTTGTAGTGGGACCTCTGAGGCAGTGATGTAGATGGGAATGCAGGAGCAGGGAAAACTAATCACAGCTGACCAACACTTTTTGAAATTGGGATCAAAGAGTAATTTTCTGGGTTAGTAATTTTGTAAAAATCTGACTTCACTGGACACTGTAAGTTGCTTTGGGTAGCTACACAGGTTCTTGACTGTTGGACCACCTGTGTGCTTGAGTCAGAGAGAAACAGCTTAATTGCTGTGCTATAACTGTGGCATGAGGTGGAGAGAAATTCTGATGACTTTGCAATTGTAATATCACTGCATCACAACTCTAGAAATGTCTCTTACCAGCCCTGGTATGACACTGAGTTCATATTTTATTTTATCGTGTTTTAACTGCTGTTTACCTTGTGTGCTGCACTGGCAATTTGGACATTGATTTATTTAGGAATATTTTAAATCAGTCGATCAATTAATCAGTGGACTTTGAGAGACGAGGTGCATTCCGAGAGCGCTCCGATGGGGTGGGGGGACTGGATGGTGGAGTAATGACCTTGCATACTTGTCTCCTTCCCATGCTGGTCCCTGTGTTTGTGCACAGCCCAGCTAATTACTGCTGCTCAATGAACTGTCAGTATTCTTGGGCACGGCGTGCAGGTTGAGTGTTTGGCTTGTTTGCGGTTTGGTGCTCTATTGTGTCAATTAATGCACTGCCAGATGTCCACATCGGAGGCTGAGCTGGGTTCCCACCAAGGCTTCATGGATTGCAACATGTGGCCACAGGCCGATGGTCATTGTCTCATTCTAAAGTGGGCCTTGCAGATGTTTTGGCCCACAACTCCCGTCATCCCTACCCTTGGCTATGCTCTGATGGGAGTGGTATTCCAGATGTATGGAAAGTTGTGCTTTCTCCAGCCCTGATGTAGGGCAAGCATTTCTGAAGGCAATTCCAAAACATGCAGACAAAGGACGTGTGTAGGTTGCTTTATTGCAGGGGTGGGCCCCTTGTGGGTGTCCAGATGTTTGGGCCTAGAATTCCCATCAGCTAGTGAGCCAACTGCAAGTTGCAGGCCAGCACTGAGTGAAGTTGTACATCAAGCAAAGTGAAGTTGGAACAGGCCAGACCTGTTTCAAATGCCAAAACAGTGCTGAGGCTTACTAGCAGCCTTGAGGCCGACTGCTTTCTCCCAGCCCAATCTACCTTACAGGACTGTTGTGAAGATTGAGTGGGGCGGGGTAGATGTAACCCCGATATCTCTGAGAGAGTGGTGAGATAAAAGTGTCCTCTATGTTCATGCTAACAAGCCAAGATAGGTGTCAACAATACACTACTGCTCTGGATTTAAATACAAATGGTTAGACCCAGATAGGTCTCCTTTAAAGATGCCTCAGTCTGGGTCCACCCCGTGTTGTAAACTGTTTGCCTGTCATAGCAAGGGAATCAGACCTAGGCAGCAGGAAAATCAAAAGTGATTTGGGGCCTTTCCTTAGAAACTTAATCTGACTTCTTGGGACATGTTTGGTGGGCCCTTGTTGGCCTCAGTTCCATGGCAGTTGTGCCCCCTCTACCCTCTGGAGCAGCCAGGAGCTCAGGCATCTACAGAAAGGGTGGCTGACAGGCAGATTTGCACTCTGTGTCTCCCTTCTTATTTGTTCTGCTATTGTCTAATTTTTCTAATTATGAGTAAGATGAAGAAGATGCAGGTAAGGATGATGCAGATTTACACAGTACCGTTTCTTCACAGTGTAACATAAGCATAAAAACAGGTCCCTGTCCCAAAGAGCATCCAGTTCAGATGTAGACCCTTGTAAATCATCACAGGGCTGCACAGTAAGTTTGAATGCAGCTGAATGGAGTTGCGGATCTTAGGGGGTTTTTTAATATCAGAAATAGGACCATGGGATTCGGCTGCTAGGGTGCAATTTCAAAAGACACAGACATTGTCCATTGAGAAACATGCAAGATTTTGACTACTGTATTTCCGAAGCCAGACCCTCCACAACGAACCTGTCCTGGAGTGTTGTAGTGGCAAAAGCCACGGCCCCAAGCCCTGATGGGTGAAGGACCAGAGCAATATGTTTGAAGCTTTTGCTGATTAATCTGTGGTGGCAGGGAGCATAAAATTTGGACTATTATTTATTAGGAATGCATTCGTATTAAATAATGACCAGATTAATCAGCTGGACATTTCAGATGATTAATTAATGGTGGCAAGTTGGAGAATGTGCCTTAAAATGACCTCGTTGAGATAGAGAGCTCACAATCTTTCCCCTTCCCCTTTCTTTTCCTTCCAGTTAAAAGTACCTGCGTCCCTTTGCTAAATCCCTTTAAGCTGGAGAGGCAGAACGCCAGCATGTCGCATCAGCAAGTACTGAGTAAGCGCTGGGGTGCGGTGTGTTCCTGAGGAGACCATCTCCAGTGTTCCTGGGGAGGGTTCCAAGTGCCGCAGGCAGCACAGCTCATCAGGACAGCTCTTCGTCTTTCTTCCTGATTGCACCTCCCAGGGCCCACCAGGCGTGCTGGACTGCAACCATTGGCCATGCTAGCTCAGTATGATGGGAGCTGTAGTCTAATGCTCCTGGAAAGCACCATGTTGGGGAAGGCTGGCTTGGGAGTGAGCTTGGTATTTCTGAAAATGGAAGTAACCCAGTTTTTGGCACCCCAGAAGCCTTAAGCATGTAGGATGAGCCGTGCTGCATTAGACCTGGTCCAGTGGACTGTTCCAAGATTCTCTGGAAGCTCACAAGGAGAGTTGGATGCAAGACCACCTCCCACTGAGGTTCCCAGCTGTGGGTCTAGAGTCACACAGCCCCTGATGCTTAGCTAGGCTGTGGCCATCGTGACTGCTTGGAGTGATGGGTTCCATGGTTTGGGTATGCAGGAGTCCTCCCAAAGTTCAGCCTTGTGGGATGATCTCCAGGTCTGGTAGGAGAAGGAGAAAGGCAGCATCCACAAAGGGTCTCTCCTGCCCCACAAAACTCTGAATATGGTGGTGCTGAGACCCCCCCTCCATCCACAGCACTGAGGGTGGTGCAAGGTCCTCCCCACGCTTCCCCTGGAGCACATGGGCCTCACGAGGCTGGTTCTGGGGAGGGGGCTTGCTGTGGCACTTTCCCCTGCGGGCTTCTGCTCCTCGGCTCAAGCACGGTGCAAGCTCCCTGCCAGGGCCAGGGCGAGTGAGTAGGAGAAGCCGGCCGCTTTCCGGTCCTCCTTGTATTGTGCACACATTCATGAGCTGCAGCTGTGCTTTTCACACAGGAATTTGGGACTTGCCTCAAAGCCTATTGACCAGTGACCCATCTAGTTGAGCTTTGTCTGCACCAGATTGCCCCAGCATGATGCCCCCTGACGTCTTGCACTGCAGTTCCCATCTGCCCCAGCCAACAGACTTGAGTGCCGAGAGCCGTACGACAACAGCTTGAGGACTGCCGGTCCATCCTGGGAGGCCATGGCTCTGTGCGTGTTGTGCCAGCTCTCCGGGGGAGGCAGGGCATGTGTGCAGCACTTCCTCTGCCGCAGGGCCCTGGGCGGCCGCTCCCCAGGCAAGCAGAGCCCAGGAAGCCAACCCGGACCAGCCTCCTTCGCGGAATTTGGTCCCTTCTCTGGGGGCTTCCACGTCTTTGCTCTTGTAGCCTTGCTCACTCTCCCATGCTCCTGACAAGAAGCCTTCTCTGGGAAGGCTGGCTGAGGCGAGAATCACCACCAGTCTTACCTAGAGGATTCTTGGGATGGGCCCAGCAGGAGTGTGGTATGGGGAGGGTGGGTGGGGGGCAGGAGAACCTGGAGGAATGTTGTCCATGGGGTCGTGAGGGGTCGGGCACCACTCTGCGACAAAACAAAGATGAACAATGGAAATGTAAGTTCGTTATTGGTCTCTCTCTCTCGGCACCCAAAGCTGGCTGTCGGTAGCCACTTGGCAGTTCTGACACAGAGATGCCAGGTGAATCCGCTCTCTTCTGCAGCTGCTCAGAGGCAACTGGGAACAAAGGTTGCATCCTCACCTGCTTCAGCCCTGGCTGTAAGTGCAGAAGGAATGAGAGCCAGTTGAGGGACAAGCCAAGGTCACCCTGATAAAACACAAAGAGGGTATCACAAAGCACAGGAAAGCACCCAGCAATCCTCTATTTAAGCAGCTGCTGGCAAGATAGCCCCAGCACGAAGGGTCAGCAAAGACAAATGGAAAACCAGTTGCCCTGGAAAACAAGCAAACGGGAAGGTCTGTCTCTGCCAAAGGCTCCTAGGAAGCACCAGAGGGCTTCAAGGAATTTTGAGTTATCCATTAGCTGGTTGCTGGGGAGGACAAACACCAGAGAGCGGGCGCCTGTCACCAAGGGCAAACCGCAAACAAGCACAGCTGGGAAATTAGATGCAAAGCCTACTCCAAAACATATTTATTCAGAAACAAAGCCCCACTCCATGGGGCTTTGCGTTGCAACTGGAATGTTATTTCGTATAACAAGAAACTGCGTAGAGTCTTAAAAATTGGGGAACCCAATCCCAGATCCCCAGGGGCCCACCTGTGTTTCTGCCTCCCCCCCAACCCATGATGAGTTGCATGTCTGAATGGACCATTCTGTTGTTCAGCAAATGCAGTGATGTTCTGCTGGCATCCCTTCATACGCTTGGTGATGAGTCTGGAATCACGCAGAAATTGTCTGGACCAGACAACAGTGTAGTTGCCATGAATCCAGAAGGGGTATCCCCTCTGGCAGCAGCCGATGGAGTTTTCCATGCTGGCAGAGAGGTGGAGGAGGGCAGGCGGCCACTGACTTCAGACCAGGGAACCTGGGATATCCAGTGGGCCCTCACATGCTGAGCAAAGGCCCAGGGACTGCTCTGCCAAGTTTCCCATTTCTCCCTTGCCCCCAGCAGCCAGCGATCCGGGGTAACTGGTCCGGCCTCATTTGGGTGTCTTGCAGGAGGCAGGTCTCTCTCCACCTGTCCTTACCGCTTGAACGAGCTGAAGTCTCCCTCTTTCAGGCCTGTCAGCACGGCCCACCTGAATTCACTGAGAGAGGGATTTACTATTCCAAAGTACATGTGACAGAGAAAAAGAACACGAGTCTCTGCCCCAAGGTGCTTGCAATCTAAGCATACACCCAGAGGAGTCCAGAAAGAAAGGGGAGGGAAACAATGCTGGGGGTGCAGGGGGAACAAATATGAGATGATTGCAGTCATGTGCTTCAGCTCAGAGAAGGACAATGAAAAGAACCTGGAGGCCTGAGCAGTGGTGAGGGGTGGCTGAAGTAGCCTAGGAAAAAGGTGCATAAGAGGAGACGTGATAGGGGTGTTGAAAATAATGCCCAATGAGAAGAAAGCGTGCATCGTAGCACTCAAATCCAGGGTTATCCTAGAAACTGACTGGGGGAAGGTTCTGGTCAGATGGGAGGAAGCAGTTTTTCATACAGCGTATCGTTAACTACGGGGTTAACTGCTATGAGAAGCAGCTATGGCTCACTGCCAGGATGGCTTTAACGGGCAGCTTCACGGAGAAGGGGGCTCTCAGTGGTCACTGGCTGTGCTGGCTGCGTGCCCAGACCTGGCCTGCCTGCACACAACAGTTGCTGCGGAGCTGGGCAAGTGGAGGTCTTGCTCCCATCCTCCTGGAGGGCTCCTGTGGCCAGCTGGTTTCCCTTGTGGATGGAGTCTGATCCTGCATGGCTGCTCTTATGTTCTCACGTTCTCAGCCTGGTGCTGCCCAGATGCACTGGGCTCAGTGGGATGTGGCAGGAGATGAGCCGTGGTGCCAGCTGGCGGTGATGGGAGCTGTAGTCCAGCACATCTGGAGGCCACGAGATCAGGGCATGCCGCAGCCATGTGCGGCTCCCTTGGTGCAAGCCACGCTCTCGCTTCCCTGCAGACATGCACAGTGCCTTCGTGGTCCTGCTGCCGCTCAGCCTGACTGTGATGATCCTGGGAGGGGTGACCGGCTTCATCAGCATCCTTGCCAAGGCCTACTTCCTCTTGCTCTTCACTGGGGTGCTCTTTCTCTTTGGAGGTAAGCCACACGCGGAAGACGCCTTTCCCATCTCAGTGCTCTTCAGAGGGCAGCACCCAGCAGGTCAAAACAGGCAAGTGCATACCGCCCTCCTCCCCAAACTGGCATGTTCCAAGTGTGTTGGACGACCATTCCCCTCTGCCGGCTGGAGATGATGGAAGTTGCAGTCCAACACCTCTGGCAGGCACCCGGTCGGGGGAGTGATGGGCTGGGAAGACAAAGTCTTGGGTTGACATTGCCCTGGGACACAACAGGGTCATTGAAAGGATGGAATCAAAAGCCTGAGGTGGGCTGGGTGGCTCTGTGTATGAGAATTAAACGTGTGATCAGCAATACAGCTCTGATCTTGGCCGTGTTGCAGGATCAACGCACCAAACATCTAGCTGCTTCCTTGCATGAGCCCAAGAACCAAAATAACCTCAGGGTAATAAATTGGCAGCTTCACAGAACACATGTGTACACACCTGCCCTTTGTTATTTCCCCAAATAAAGATGCCAAAAGGGAATATCCAAACAGGCCTCACTGTAACACCCTTATTAGGCTAACCAAAAAGTCACAAGGTGCTGCACATTTTTTGAGCCAAGGTGTGCTCGCTGTTTGTATCCTCTTTAGCGCTCGTGACTCTGGCCGGGCTCAGCGTCTACATCGCCCACTCTGCAGCAGCCTTCAAGGAGGTCATGTCTCTTCTGAGAAACGAGAGCCTTCGGGGGATCCTCAGCATTCGCTTTGGCTGGTCGTTGGCCTTTGCCTGGCTCTCCCTGGCTGCAGAGGTGCTCGCAGGCCTGGCTTTTCTCCTGATGGCCAGGATGGTGGGCCTGAAACCCAGGCAGGACCATTCCATATAAGGGCCTCAAACACTGCCCCCCCCCCGCTCTGCAGGAGTTACACCCCATGTCTGGGTTCTTCCTCCCCTTGTTCTGAACTACCCACTTTGCAGTTCAGTCTAGGCCATTTTGGACAGCCCTGGGTGCTTTGTTGCCAGAATCCTTCTCCTTCACAGCTTTGGTTTATTAATAGTTTGACCAACAGATGGAAGAGTGTCTAGAAAAGGGCCTTTATTCAGAGCTGTGTGCACCTAGCCTTAAAAACAAAGAAGCAAAAGTAAATAAAGGCAAAATCCTTTCTGAGTTTAGACAGATAAAAGGCCTTGCTCTCCCAGCAGGGAGCAGCCAGCCACACTGTTGGCCACACTGGGGATTGTGGGTCTTCTTTCTGTCTAAACTTGCCTCGATTGTGCCCCAAGTGTGCAATCCTATCGTCCCCATGGCAGATGCTCCTCCATGGGACCAGTGGGCACCCAGTGCAAGGTGGGTGGTGGAGATCTCTCCCAAGCTGAGCATTTTCTCTAGATGGCCACTTCGGGCTGCTAGATTTAGCTTCAGGGAGGTGGATGGAAGGAAGGAGGCAAGGCTTGGAACCAGCGTAACTGCATGGCCCCAGCCTCCCACTCTCCTTGCCCTCAACACACCTCTCCCCCCCCCCCCCCGCCACAAGGCCTTGGGGAAGCAGGCAGCTGGTGTAGTTCTTTCCATGTGGGCTGTGAGGGGTGGGGAAGGGGCTTGGATTTTGGATCCCAGTCCTGAGAACTTAGGACTTTGGAGCTGGGAATCCAAAGGATACTGACACTGTCCCCCCTCCCCCCGGGTGATGTTAGGAGGCTCTAGAATTGCACACCTAACAGATTAAAATTCCACATCAGCAAAAGTTCAGTTCTGCAGCCCATTAAAAATCATGTATGTTGAGCAGATCTATTGTTCAGCATTAACATTTCTGCCGTTTACCCCTGTTCTGCATTCATTTATTTTGGGCCTTCTTTAGTCACAGCAGAGAGAGCTATTACTGGTGCACAGCAGTTATGCAGGCATTAATGTATCACCTGTGAAGATCCAGCTGCTTGTTCAACTGCTGCTCTGGCTTCTGGGAGTTCAGCAGGGAGTGTGCATCCACACAAGCCTAGAAACTTGTTCTCAAATGGAAACAGGTTATTAGGAAGTAGAATTCTGCACTTTTGTCCATGCATTCCAACAGAATTGTCGCATATCCAAAACTGTGAGGATTAAAAAATTTTTTTAAATCATATATGATTCCAAATCTTGCAACCAAAACCAATCTCTGTGGATGGAAGTCTTTCTGCAAACGGCTCATGTTACTCCTAATAATGAACTCAGATGGTGAGCACTGAAATATTTCAGCCAAAACAAGACAAACGAGAAAAGTATAAATGTGGTTGAGGAAACTTTTATCTTTGCTGAAGTACAAACCTTCCCCTGCCAACCCCGCCCCCCAATGGCGCACCCCTTCAAAGCAACCCAGTGAAAGCTGAGCAAGTTCACAGGGTGTCCACTGGAACAGAAAAATAAAGAGTAGGCAGGGGCTGAGAGGAAGGGAGTGGCGTGCCTTTACAGGGAGGACATGGCTGGTGGGAAACCTGGATGTTTTTTGAGGAGGAAAGATGCACCGCGACAATTTGTTGTGACTCTCGTGTGTGCATATTTAAATTGTCCAACGACAGCATGTGTCTCCTGGCAAATTTTGTTTAATTTTGATGAACAGTTGCTCCGGCAAGGGTGCCTCTCCTCTTTAAATTGTGTGTGTGTGTGTGTGTGTGTGTGTGTGTGTGAGAGAGAGAGAGAGAGAGAGAGAGAGAGAGAGAGAGAGAGAGAGAGAGAGAGAGAACACACGCATGCACCGGACCCTGCTGCACACCTCAGCAGGTTTGCACAACATGGGGAGCCATGAGCTGTGAGAGCCATCAGGGAAATCACCCGGTGCGTGGGCAGCTCATGCGGGGTGGGGGTGCGTGGGGAAAAGCAGCCATGGTGGGATCCCCTAAGCCAGCCAGAAGGTTCAGGCATGAGTGTTTCCTGCAGAGAAACACGCCTGCATGAAACGGGGAGCTGGTGCCACAGGGAATCCGCAGCCATCTGTTCGCCCTTGGTTTCAGCGCCCGAAGTTCTCCCAACGAAGAACGGTGGTCTTTGCTGACACCTCGTGGTGCGAGTGAGCAGCTGAATAGCCTAGCGGGGAAAAGAGAAGGAAGAGCAAACGCGGCCATCTCAGATGACTCGAGCGCCAGCCCAGCCCAGCCCAGCCCAGCCCAGCCGTGCGTTGGCCCAGGCACAGGCTGACCTTGGAAGTGGACTCTAATTCTAGCCTTCAGTCCAGCATCTTTGAAGTGAACTGGCTGGGCATTTAGTGTAGATCAATTTGAGAGAGCTCCATATTCCTAAGGTGTGGAAAATTCCCGTTTCCAAGGGCAAGCTTGCTCTGATTTTGTGTGTGTGTGTGTGTGTGTGTGCGCGCGCGCGCGTGTGAGAGAGAGCAAGATGCGTGATTCTTGCTACAGTTCGGAGTCAGTCACCTCTGGGCTGCCTCTCTTCTTGCTAGCTGCTTGTCCCCTAGTCTGGGCACGGGTGGCATTTTCTTTTGCAAGGTCCTTCCCAAACAGGCACTCCGCACGTGGATTCCCAGGTGATGTGGCCAGGGGAGCACAGGGGGAGGGGTGTGAACCTGCTTTGGGGCAGTGAAGGGCCAAACTGAGCTTGCAAACGAGCTAAATTTCCCTTCTGGCTCTTCGCATTTCCTGGAAAGGAAAATTTAAAACAAGCCTCTCCTTGGGCACAACTGCCCCTTGAGAGATGTGGAAACACAGACAAGGAGGGGATGGAGTGATTCCCCCCAGGGTTTCCATCTTCTTTTTCATTGTTTTTTCCAGACCTCAATTTTGTTGATGGGAGGGGTTCTCGGACCCAGGAAGGATTCCGGCTGGGCCCCTTTTGCCAGTGCTCCAGGGTGTTCTGGCGAAGGTTAGGGAGAGCCAGGGCGAGCTCATCTGATTGGAGTCTGTAGTACTTTCAGTTCTTGCCTGCCTCTTTCCATGCGATGAGGGCTCATGTGAGGCTCAGTTTCTGCGAATGGGGCAGACAAAAAGCCAGTTCTCTGGGACAGGGTGTGATTAAGGGCCCCCATCCACTCCGCCACCTCTTGCAAGTGATGAAAGATGCCCATGGAATTTTGTGTTTTTGATTTTCTTGCCTACCTGGGCAGTATGTTCTTTCTTTTGAAAAAGAAAAAATATTAATGCCTTGTAAACTCTGATTTCCTTAAATAAAGGCAGTTTTACTTGTTAATTATCTCCTGTGCAGTGTTCTTTGCTTCTTGTACTATCTATATGCTCAAGCTTCTTTGGGGCCATCTTGCCAAATGGAATTTAACCCTCTGGTGCTCAGGGCTGGCTTGGAGCAGTGAAAGGCCAAACTGAGATTAGATGTAGATGGTTTTGGCTCTTTTGGCTCTGGCCTCTTGGCAGAGCAGCAGAGGCACAGGCTGGGAGAGAGGGCTGAGTGGCCAGGGGACTGGCCAAGGCAAGGCAGGAGCTGGGCAGGGGAGCAGAGGGCCAGGAGCAGTGGAGAGGAAGGGGGCGGGGCCAGAGAGGTGGGAGGGGCCAGGAGGGAGCAGGGGGCGGGGCCACCGGCCGGAGGGGCTGATAAGGCATCATCCCTTGTCTGTGTCCCTTGGCTGCGGCCCGGGCTGCCCTGGGACTCCCTTCCCTGGGGAGCAGGTTCTCCCCCCCACCCCCGATTTAAATTTTTATTTTATCCTTGTGTGTGTGTGCGAGTGGGTTTTTGTCTGGGAGAACTGGGCGAGTGAGAGGAACTGCAGGACAAACAAGGCGGGGGACCAAGGTCGGGTCTCGGAAGGGATACCGATGGCAGGCCAGGAGATGGCCTTGGCAGGAGTCCCGGGTGTTGCCGTCCGCTGCGAGAGCTGCGACATGTTCGCCCTTCTCCCCCAGGAGAGGCAGGGATACACTTGCCCTCGGTGCAAGCTGGTGACCCTGTTAGAGGAGGAGGTGAGGGGCCTGAGGGCCGAGAGAGCTCTCCAGGCCCCCCCGGAGCAGCCCCCCTCTGGACAGAGGGTAGAGGGAGAGGTCACGGGAGGAGCAGCTGCGGAGACATGGAGGAATGTCACCCACAAGAGGGGGTGGCCAGCACAGCCTCCTCCTTCTCCTGGCACCAACCTGGAGCCGGGAAACAGGTTATCTCCGCTTTGGGAAGCTGGGGCTGATGAGGCCTCGGGGGAGCAGCAGGACCCCCAGCCTGGGATGTCAGGCGGCAAGGGGGCCGCTGCAGGAGAGGCGAGGGCCAGGGCACGGCTGCCCACCAGCACCGGGAAGGTACGGCGCCGGGTGACTTGTCAGGGACTCCCTGCTGAGGGGCACTGAGGCGGCAGTGTGCCGCCCCAACCTGGAGACAAGGGAGGTTTGCTGCCTGCCGGGCGCACGCATCCGGCATATGAAGGACAGAGTGGGGCGTCTTGTTCGCTCCGGGGGTCACCAGCCTCTCCTGGTGATCCATGTGGGCACAAACAACATGGCCAAACAGGGTGTGGGACTTCGAGGCCTTGGGGAAGAAATTCAGGGAGCTGAAGGCCCAAGTGGCCTTCTTGTCAATCCTACCTTTCTGGGGATTTGGGCCAGGAAGGGACAGGCGGGCCTCCGAGGTGAACTACTGGCTTAGGGTGTGGTGCCAGAAGGAACGCTTTGGGTTCCTCGACCACGGCACTCGTTTTCTTGCCAATGGACTTCTGGCAAGGGACGGGTTACACCTCACGAGGATGGGGAAAAGGTCCTTTGGAGATGCTCTAACGAACTTCGTCCGGGAGACTTTAAACAGAGCCGGGGGGAGGGGGTCAGGCCCCCCAGAAACGTGTCTGCACTGGACAAGTGTGTGGGGAGGATCAGGGCTCTGGGAGCAGGGTTTTAGAGGTACTGCAGGGACTGACAGGACTCCTACAGAGAGGGGCCAGGTATCAGGGAGGATGGGAGGAAGGAGGAGGCTGGGAACTCCAAGGAAAGGAAGCGGAGGGAAGGGGTTGAGGTGCATGTACACCAATGCTAGGTGCATGGGTCATAAGCAGGAAGAG